TGTCTGTAAGCAACTGTAACATATTTCGCTCTTCCCTTTCAAATCCACTTACACATTGTTCGATATTCGTGACGGTATTGGAGAAACTTTCTTTTTCATTCAAATGCCTTAAGTGTTTTTCTACGGTCACCCATTTGAATGCTGAAGTGATTCTCGTTTTCATTTAATTTTCAATACTTATCTCGCACTACAAAAATCATTGATTAATGATTCAAAAAGTGAACAAGTAATACCAAATAGCAACAAACAATTTGTAGCAAATCATTGGAAAATCTGCAAATTAGAATTTAATATATGTTTTGTTATGACATCTATCACGAGCGAGCTTAGATAATAAAATTAGCATCAAGAGTATGTGCTTGCCAGCTGTTTGATTAGGAAGCGAATTGTGATTCACAGCTTCAATGCCCATTTTACTCATTTGTCTTCATTTATTTTCCTCTTATATTGATGTTGTTGTAATTTCGCTTAGGCATCGTTTCGCACGTTTACATTGTGGCCGCCGGAGTTACCTACTTAACGCTTGAGGCACAAAGCCGTTAACTGTTATTTTTTCACTTTCTTTGCTTTGCGCTTCGTGCCTGGTGTTTCACTTCTTCACCGATGCGTTTTTGGGTGTTTTGACCGGATTACGCATTATTTCTGCGACTTTTTCGCATAAGCGGCAAGTGTACGTCTCCATGGCCGCCGTTACATCAGCGCGGTCAAATAGCGCGAAATCGCCTGTTAAATGAAATTGTCAATAAGTGCAACAATCGATTTGTTTACTTTTCGTATTTATTTTGCCATTGAAGTTGTACATGGCCTACATGCTATTTATAGTTCAGTTGTCATGTGAGCCGTACTGCAATAGTTAGATGACATTGAAAGTGGGGGCGCTTTGAACCTTATATAGGATTAACAACATTTTCCATACCAATATAAGTATGTTAGATAAATACAACGTTTTAAAGAAAAATTGGGTATTAGGAACTTCGGAAGAAGTTTCTGGGTGTCATTTCTTTAAAAGAAGACAATTATCGGAACAACAGTTTTGACTGTGTCATCACCATTAGTCATATGGCATATTTCGCTGATAAAAAGTTTTTTATTTTGCTAGTTAGTAATGTTATTACAAATTACCAATTTCTTATAAATTTAACCATATTACGTCTCAGTGATATGTATCTACCTAATTTTATTAAAATATTCTTATGGGATAAAACTGTAGACAGCGTCTACCAATAGGGGTGAGGTGCCGTGATTTTGACAGCTTGTGGCGGTCATGTATGTTAACGGATTTGTGTAAAATTTTGCCAGTGTGTTCAGTAAGGTTTGTCATTTCATCATGGCACGTTTAACTTAGGTACAACACTTCGAAATTGCTCCCGTTCACGTTCTCCGGGGGCTACTGTAAGCGCTTTTCGCGCAAAAAATCATATTCTCAGATAAGTCCCATTTCCGGCTTAATGGCTTCGTCAACAAACAAAATTGTCGCTATTGGGGTGAGTCATATTCTTGTGTGGTTAAGGAAACGCAATTGCATCCCCAAAAAGTGACCGTTTGGTGTGGATTGTGGTATGGCGGCAATATCGAGCCTTATTTCTTTCGAAATCGAGGCAGGAAAAGTCATTATCATTAATAGCGAGCGTTATTAAACGATTGACTATTGACTATTGACTTGAGTTATGCCAGTGAACAATAAGGTTTTGGCCAACAGTGAGGCTTTTTATTTATTGAGATGAAATATTTCGTCTTGCCGTGGTTTAACTTCATCTATAGTAATATATAGAGAAAGTGGAAAGGGCTGTTGTTTAGCTCGATGATGTTTATATATATAAAACTATCTGAATGATTTAATTTGCTGCTCGATTCTTCTTCTTCGTCATAAGATTACAAATGTGCAAAATATCTAGGATCTTGTCGATAACCTCGTTTAGTATCAAACAGCTAAGCCTGACTTGCAATGATATTGTGGGCTATCAAACTTAGACATAAAGCTGTAAACTCTTTTTGTGCTGTCAAAGAAACAGTGACAATCAGCGCGTGATTTCCTAGTTCTAAAGCCAGTTTTATAAATAAGTACATTGTCCAATATATTCGTATTCCATATTTTGTATAAGAGCTCATCGGCACCATAGTCCCGCCAAGGTTACTGGAACTTCTTCATAATCGATTAATTGTAGTTATATCCTCTTCATAATTCTGGAACTTTACACCCATCTTTATAGACCTTTGGTCTTCAGCACTTAAATTTAGCTTATGAATCATGATCTCAGAATAAGCTCTGAAAATCGAAGCGTTAGAAAAAACCTGATAATTTAAAGAATTTTAATTAGTGGGCGTCAAATTATTATGAAGAGCGTGTAAATGGCGTTAAATAAATTCGTGGTAAATTGCTCGCTTGCCCTTTTTCCAACTCACGTAAACGCTATTACATGGACATTAGAATCAAAATATTTTTACACATATTTATATTCATATACATATATTTTTCAGAACCATAGCACAAATCGAGGCAAAACAAGCCAATTGTTTATTAATAATTGCTTAAATTAACTGTTAACTATTGGGTTTTCATGTCAATCCCACTTGTGAATATGCGCCTCACTTTGTTTTATAATTGCTGGTCATATGCTTAGCCATAACTAACTTGGATGAATGAGCAGCGCTGATTTGCTGTGGGAGTTGCGCGGCATGCCGGCGATAATTCAATTTTGGGGCTGGCTTATCACGTTCTCGGCGCAAATCTTTTGCGATTAAAAATATGCAATTTGATTTGTCTCGTTGTGATTCTTTTAGATTTGTTTTATGTGATTTTATTGGTGACCATTCGGAATTTCCATAAATAGATGCAGCTGCAAATTTGTTATTAAATAAATTACATAGGCATATTTGGTAATAATCATTACTCATATTAAATGATTGATAACGCACATCCGCGTTTTATTACAACTATTTCTAGACTTATTTTGAATTTAGTTTTTATTTTATTTTTTTCAAATTTATTCAGTAGCAATTTATTCGTGCCTAGAAAAGGAAATCTTCATGTGAATATGTCTAAATAAAAAGGTAATCAAAGTGATTAGCAGCTAGCCCCAGGGCAGAGAATGTTAATAAATAAACGCTTGTATGGCACAGTTCCTTATTGCAAATTTACATCAAATATATTGCCTCAGTTCAAATCCTATCACAGATGTTTAATTTAATTTTTATAAACCTTTTTTATTGAGTTTACTTTAAATTAAATTTTTGCCTCATTATATAAATGTTCTTTAAAATCTATTATTTCTTTTTGTTATTCTAATTTTCCCTAACACGCATGCCAAAGAACATCTGCGCATATATACATATATTAGTTGTTCCTTTATAAGGTGGTGACAATTTACTTGGTTCCAGCAGAGAATGTTAATGAATCCCTCATCTGTAATTACAAATTAGTACTCAAAAAGATTTCATTTAACATTTGCTCCTTCTCTATTCATTTACATTCTCTGGTTCCAGCTTAGAGTGGTGTAATTTGTTGAATTCGATTATCATGAGGGGAAGGTACCTTTTTGACGTGGTGTAATTAAACTTTCGAATTTGCGCATTTTCGATGTTCCCTTTTTATAGTTTACATTTTAGAACAGCTAACATTTGCGCCAGAGAACGTCAATAAATAATTATTATTTTTTATATAATAAATATGAATTCATTTACGTTCTCTGTTTGCGCCTTCTCTCTGCTGACTGTTTAACCACCTATTAGCCGCTAGATGGATCTGCATCACATGGTTTAATTATTGGCTTTTGTGTGCTAGTGGGATTTTCACAATTTATCGCATGCGACGTATTTGCGGTGCAATTAAAACTTTTGCGAAGTTTTGTGGCCATTATGTTCCGATCAAGTTATTTTCGCAGCTATTGCGCCGATATGCAATTTTATTAAACTTTACTAAATGCTTTAGTGTTATCTTTTATATTATCACAACATATTTCTGGGGATACAAAGCTTTGCTCATATAATCATTATTTTGTCAAACCTAAAAGTAATCGGCATAGATATAGTGTTATGATCATATATCAAAATATTCTGTGTTTCTGAGGATTTCACCACCTCCATAAAACTAGAGTATTCGAAAAACAAACTTCAAACTGGGTACAGAGGGTTAGACATATATACCGAAATTTAAAATATTCTCCATTTGATTCGACTTATAAGTATTGCTCTGCTGAGAGGAATTCTTATATACACAGATTTTTTCTAGGTTTTACTTCTTTTTTACTTTTTTTTTTATAACCGGCTGCCGTGGGATCGGACAAAGCTCATCGAAACTGCTTAAAACTTTTTTATATTTGATTGTGTTTATTTTGGGTATTTGGGGAGATTGGTATCTCGCATCCATTTCTGCGCTGTGTGGCGTTAGATTTCTTACTAAACAAAACTTCACAGATATTTTTGTGATTGCTTGACTCAGTATTTTTTCAGCACGCGTCAAAATGGACAACAGCAATTTTCCAGTTTGTTTTTGATAAAGACGAGAAAGCAAGACAAGCGGCTGAAAATGTGAAAGTTTAAATAATGTAACAACCAATCACGCGGAATTTCGTTCCGGTAATTTTGAGGTTAAAGATGCACCACGCTTTGGAAGGAAAATAGTCAAAAATATCGATAAAGTAATAGAAATCGTCCTAGCCTAAACCGTTCGAATACCAAATTGTGAGATCCTTTTTACCGAGTGGACGCAGATGTATAGACTTTTTATTTAGAAGTACAAAACAATATTTCGGGAAACCTACGGGGTAAACACTGATATAGCTAATATCTCTTGCTTCTAAACACCATAACTCCAATAAGTTCTACATGGTTTATGCTAAGTATTATAATGACGAACACTTCAAGAAACTTCTCCCGTTATCACAGTCTCGCGGATTTTTGCTTAAAGCTTGGAACAGAACCATCTCTCAGAAATACTAAAAAGGTCTCATAATAAAATACGATGACGTGTTCTGATTTTTCATACAATACAAATGGGACGTAATATTCTTCAAATAGGCGCTTCAGATTTTCTCAGAGCGTCAATCAAAACCTTTTCTACCTTTTTTCGAGGAATGATAGTGGGGGAGTTGCACAGCGGCATCTATGGTATGCGAGAAACTCCTACATCTCTTGGCGTAACCCCGTCATACTGTATAAGACCTTCCCTGAAAAGATGTCATACCATGAAGTGCCACCCTAATGTATACGTTCATAATATATTGGCATATCGCAACCATTTGATTTTACTTTTTTGTCAAGCCTAGAATACTTGCTGTGACAAGTTAACGTGTCTATCGTGTCTTCATGTTATGTGCCTGAGCAGAAGATAAGCTCGATGCTGTAAATATGTAACCTAACCTACTAAGGTGTATACTCGTATTAGTTGTTCCCCTGCGAATATAATTTTCATAATTTGTAACCAAGTGAAATGAAAACTTAATGGATTTACAATAAATTATACCGATTGAACTCAATAAAAAGCTGAAAGAAAGTGAACAAGTCGGCGAAACGCCGGTGCCCGAAGCATCTGGCGCCAGATGTACTTTGCATATATTCTCTTTATAACTATAAGTATAAGTATATATATAAGTGTGTACATTATCACTTTAGGCGAGAATTGCATTTGCCTCTTTTTCCTGTGGATATTGCGAGCTATAAAAGCCGCGCGTTAACCTCCACTGCTCAACAGTCACTCCAACTGCTTCGCTTAGCGCATCTCGTCCAACAACAACAACTAAATATGAAATTTTGCTTAGCTTTACTGTCGCTGCTCATCGCTGTGGTTAGTAAGAATGCATATTTTTGAACCGGTTCTATAATAATGAGGCCCTTACAACTTTTGTTTTTAGGTCCTCGCCGTCGCAGATCATCATGCCGATCACTCCGATTATGTGGTCAAAACCAATGCGGATTTGGTACGCTACCGCGATGAATGTGTCTCACAGTTGAGTATACCGTCCGATCTGGTGGACAAGTACAAGCAGTGGAGCTTCCCGGATGATGAGAAAACTCACTGTTATTTGAAGTGCGTTATGGAGAAGTTCGATGTGTTCGATGCTGAAAAGGGCTTCGATGTGCACAAGATACACCACCAATTGGAGGGCTCTAATGCCGATCACTCAGATGCAACACATGGTGCTATTGAGAATTGCGCAAAAGAAGCCGCTGCTGCTGGCGATGACGCATGCGTTCGGGCATATCGTGGCTTTACGTGTTTCCTCAAGGACAACATAAAGCTGGTACAAGCTGGCGTCGAAAAAAGCAGCAAGTAGTGTTTGTAAATAAGAAAATATTGGTGATGGTGCAAAATATATGTCTCTACTCCAAAATGATTTGTTTTACTCATATAGTGATATAATATATAATTTATTATAAGGTGAAATTAAATCTTCGAGTTTATTTCTGTCTTGGCTTTACTTGATTGGCTAACATCGAGAAATTACTTTCGAAGCTGCTCAATATGTTGTTATCGTCAGCCGCTTTTCAGCAAGATTATATCGATTCGGCTACAGTGGTTGTAGATTGTGGGTGCAACCCCTCTTACATAACCCAATAACAAATTGGGCAGCTTTTTTGATACAAGAGGATATATACACGTTTCTATAGGATCTCTGGGTGAAAATTTATTATTGTGTAGAAAAACTTCGCTAAGAACAAATATTTTCTTTGAAGTTAGGTTGGCGTTGCAAATGGACGATGAAGACCCCGTCTATAATCCATTATTAATATCAGTAGGGGCTTGAAACCGTTCTGAATGAATGCAGGGCGCGCTTCACAAGTCCGCAGTACGTATCTCGGGAACTAATAGTATTATTTCAGTACAAAACTACTACAAGTATATCGTAATAATCTATTAAAAAAAAAAAAAAAAAAAATTTAACTTCGGCTGCACCAAAACAATAATACCCTTCACAGATGCATAAGCAATTACTTCAGATGTTGTAACGATTCCTTGGATAATAATCTATACACAAATTTCGCGAAGATACCTTATCAGACCAAAAAGTTTTCCATGCAAGGAATAGCTCACTGATTTCCGTGCCTATGGTTAATTTCTTAATGAAACGAAATGAAAATATTTTGATAACCAGTCATATGGCAAAACAAATAACCGAAATAGGTCCATATTTTATTCAAGTTCCCATATACCGCATACACTGTGCATTTTTATTCCGAATATATCGCTTATTACGTGAGATAAACCAATAAAAAGATAACATCGTCACAAGGTTAGCTGGTATCAGATCAATTAGAAAAGGTCCATAAATTCACCTAATAATAAACACTTTTTTAATATTTTGCATATATGGTAATTTTGGAATTGCCTACACTGAAATATAATAGAAATATGAACAAAACAAAGTTTTATGGTTTTTATTTATGAATACAATATTATCTGCAATTAAATGAATATGTATAACAGTTGATAATTGCAATTATAAATCGGTGATATTCTCATTCTGCTTATTGCAAATATACCATATGTACATACTCGTAGCACACAGTCATATCGCATATGGGTGTGTCAAGAAGTTGAATTTATATAAGGGTAACATTAAAAACAAGTACAAAATGTGGAATAAGTTCACATTTCACTTTCACATATACTCTTGCAACATGTTTCTACAGAGTATAATAGATTTGTTCACCTAACGGTTGTGCGTATTACCTAAAACTAATCGTGAGAGATATAGGGTTATATATATATACATAATCGGGATGAGGAGACGATTTGAAATCCTGTCTGCCTGGTACCGTAAGACGGTTGGCATTGTAGATGGGCGTAATCGGACCCCTGCCGCGCCCACATAACGCGATTAATGAAAAAAAAAAATGCCATAACTAAGATCCACAATAAGATACAAGACTGTTAATTGGTATACAGAATCACATCAGAGAGGGGCATCTGCAGTTAAAATTTTTTTTTTAAAGTAGGCGTGGTCCCTAACTCTAATGGCTTTAATGTGCATATTTCCTGAACCGATAAAGCTATAATAACAAAATTCACTGAGAACAAATTTGCGTGACTTTATAGGAACCGCGTTCAAACTTAGATAGTGGGCGTGGCACCACCCACTTTAGGTGAAAACCCATATCTTTTGATATGCTTAACAGAATTCAACCAAATTCGGTACATAACATTCTTTTCATATTTTTATATTATAGTGCGAAAATGGGCGCAATCGGATTACAACCGCGCTTATTTCCCGTATTTAAATTCCATCTCATTATTTCACTTTCCACTATGCAAATCAAGCAACAATGATTGCGTGAATAATGCGTTTAAAGTATGCCACCTTGTGACCAAAAATTGTCTAAATCGACAGTTGTAATGCATTCTACTTGTATATAAAATCAGTTATGAGCGTACAACACAACAAAACACAAAAACGATTTCTCATAATTTGAGTAAATTTAGTTTTCAAATTGGTCTAATTAATTTTACTGTGAATGTAAATAACTGAGGCAACAGTTCCTACTTCTAATTATTAAAATATATAAAGAAATCTCAAACGAGTATACCATTTGACTTTGCGGGAGTATAAAATGTTCGGTTATATCCGAACTTAGCCTTTCCTTACTTGTTTACTATAAAGTTTTCCTAAACGCTGAGGATATATTCTTTGCATTGATCCTTGTAAGTTGCAAGAGTATAAAATGTTCGATTCCACTCGAACTTAGCAAATCCTTACTTGTTTAATAAAAAGTTGGTTTTTTTCTTTAAGATCTTCGACCTTAGCATTCTGGGAAAGCAGGTGCGAAACTATGCCAGTCTGAAGGGACCACAAAAGACCTATTAAACACAGTTAAGTGTACAACACCCTTGGTTCTTAGAATACGAAAACATTCTTCATATAGATTTATCAGGTCAAAATGGAAAATGTGTGATTATTTTGACATTTGCTTCGCACAAATAATGTTAGAAATGCTGGTCGTAAACCTGCCAGTCGTGCCATCATCTTGTCACTATACTTGTATCATTCAAATCCCCACCTACTTGTGAATAATAACTTCAAGTTTTAACAGTTTACGGTTATGATGTGCGATTTTAGTTTACAAAGTCAACGATAGTTGTAATTGTCATTATTTTAGAATCTCTTAAAGCACTTTTCGACCTAAAGGGGCAATCTATTGCACTATTGTTAACTAAGAAATATATATTTATTATTTCGATTCCAGTGTTATCTGTCTAATGTTCCGAATACTCTTTTTCATGTGTCATATGTAACACGAGATCCGAATATGAACTAGATTGAATGTTAAGCATGATACTTGAAAAAGTTCGACCAAATTGTTACCTATTGGATCTAGACTCTGTGTCCTCTTTGAACAGATTCTGAGATTTCCTCGAAATTTCATTAAAATCATTCAAACCATTTTTAAGTGGTTATTTTGCATATGTCATTACTATTAGTTTCTGAAAAATTTTACTTATAACACCATGCCGCGACGTTTTTTCTGAGTATTGGACCAAACTTATTTTTTTCGAGATACTGCTTGCTAAGTAAAAAATGAATTTTTCCGTTTGTAGAAGTTAGCTTTCAAAATCGAAATATTTGTTTTCGAATTTCGAAATTGGGCCTATTGAAAACATCATTACATATAGTAATTACAGTATGTAAGTTCGTAAAAAATTAAAAATATGGGCACCATTTACGGTTCCCTCTCATTTTAATAGTGTATAACATTAATAGTGTATGACAACAGTCTGACATACTTAACTAATACGACCCTGAATTTATAGCTGTCAGCAGCAATAGCAATATTCCTTTAAAGGTTTGGTGAAATGTTTCAAGTTGCTGTTTCAAAAACAACAAGATGGAAAGTTGTTTATGAATATGTTCCGAAAAATACATGTTTCCCTCTTTGTCTTCATTTTTTTCTCAATGCATTACGGAATTTTTTCGAAGTGTCATTCAGCTGCGGTGTAGCATAGTTTGAGACACTTATACTGTTGTGGTCTTAAATTACTTCTTCATCTTTCGATAAATCCACGATTATTTCATTGGATTATACTCCAATTTTTTAAGCTTTGCTTGCCAATAGTTTATAAACTCTGTTTTCTTGTAAGTTCTTAAATAAAACTATTTGAATTTGACTCTTGTCAATAAGAAACGAGGTGCTAAAGGGTTCTTCAGTACCAGCGAGCGAAGTTGCTCTAATACCTTGCCCTTGAGTTTAGTAGCTGTTAAAACTTTTAAAGTTCAATTTTGAAGAAGCTTAAGCAAAAAATTTTTGACATATGTCATAGCCTTTATTAATCTACACGTTCACTTTTGGCACACCCTAATGGACCTGTTCGTAGGTCATACATGCTAAAGCAAGTATTGTATATATATGGATGTGTATAATATTCAATACTAAATTAAGAAATTAGTTACAAACTGTAGCAATTGCTGTGGTTATTGCTTGTGAGATAAGGTCAGTTATGACCTGATATACATATATATATATATGTATATACACGTATACGTGAGTAGACAAATACATATAGTAATATGCAAGCAAATAATCTCACAGTTTCAGTAGCTCTGAGGCACTATTTTAATTACCAGTTTCGTTACTTCTATTTATTTTAAGATACGTTTGCTGATCAGCATATTAAGTAATTATAAAAGCACCGGCATTCACGTATTTTTCAAGCTTCATAGGAGCTCAGCGCCGTTGATAGTTAGAAGAAAATATAAAACAATGAGTTATAGATGAAGTTCAGCTTTACGGTGGCTTTGTAAGTTCTGATTTATTCATATATAATTTGTAAAATTTATATCTACTAATAAATTAGTTCTACTACTTTTAACAACAATTAATCATTGTTTCTGCATTGCTCGACAGAACGTTGTAAAATAATAATTAATAAAATATCCATTTATTTAAGGTTCGGTTACTCGGTAAATTTAAGGCTTGGTTTGTATACTCCCGTAACATGTTGCACAGAGTATAATAGGTTTGTTCACCTAACGGTTGTTTGTATCACCTAAAACTAATCGAGATAAATATAGGGTTAAATAGATATGTATAAATGATCAGGGTGACGAAGCGAGTTGAAATCCGAGTGAGTGTCTGTCCGTCCATTTGTCTCTCCGCGTAAGCGATAACTTCAGTAAAAATTGAGGTTGATGAAACTTGGTACACGTATTTCTTGGCACCAAAGGGGTTTGGTTTTGCAGATGGGCGTAATCGGACCACTGCCACACCCACAACACGCCATAAATAAATGTTTTTTTGATAATAATATAGCCTTGTGCCAAAAATGGGTAAAATCAATCAATCAGTCAATACTTCCCTTAGCCCAAATACCTAATATTATATAAATATTTTCGAACTTCGTTTTGACTTCATACTGCATCTATCGGTCAATATGTTAGAAATCTCTTTCTAATAATTGTGTAGCTTCTTGCCTATGATTGTAAATAATGCATGCAATACTTCCTACTTTTAATTAAAATATATTCGAAAATCTAGTATATCACTTTACCTTGCGAGAGTATAAAATGTTCGGTTACACCCGAACTTAAACATTCCTTACTTGTTTTGGTTGTTCCAATTATAAATTATAGGTTTGTATATTTGTTCTCGCTTTAACAGAAATTGAAAATGTATTCAGTTGAATTATCGAAAACACTACTGACGCTTTTTATGAATTCTAACAATTACCTTATTTGAAAGATGGCAATTGCTTATTCACAGTACTCTATAGACAAGGGAAGCAGTAGAAGAAAGGAATAGATATTGCAAAATAAAGATGGTAAAGAAAACATATCGGTATATAATTATCGATAATTTCAATTATATCGATATATTTTATTTTGCATATGTCGATAATTTCGAGCCGCAATTACCTAAAGGTATATCGAAATATCGAATAATGAAATTTCGTCAAGAAACTTAATTAAAAAGTTTTCCATAAAGGACTTGAGTTTATACAATCAGTTTGTCTGGCAGCTATACGCTACAGTTGTTCGATATCGGCTGTTTCTACAAATGAGCAACTTCTTGGTGAGAAAAGGACGAGTGAAAAATTTCAGATAGATATCTTTAAACTGAGAGACTTTTTGCGTGTATATAGACGGACAGACAAAGAGGGCTAAATCGACTCAACTCGTCATGTTGACCTATAAAATATGGTCACGTTTCTTTGCGTGTGACAAACATCGTGGCACGCTTAAAAAAGATTTTATCCCGAAATTGTTTAAAATGGCAGTTATAATTTTTATGAGATTGCAAATTTTCGAGTTGCTTGTTTTAAACTTATTTAAAGTGAGGTGGTAACCACATTATATCACATTTTAGTTATAATATTGTCTTAAATCGTATTAGTTCATGCAATGCTAAATTTTTACTATTTTAAAAAGGGTTGCAACTCTGGAACAGCCTTAATTTTTAATTTCTTTTCGCAATATGTTACATATGTTTTAGCTTTTTAATGTTTTCCTTTTAATTTTTATATTAAGGCAGGTTGCAACCCACACCATATTGTAACAATTTATAAAACCTAATGTTACTGCAATTATTTTTATTAAATATATATGAAAACCATTTTTTAAAGAGAATAATTATATAGATATATAAACAGTGTTGGAATTTGGAACCAAAAACAAACATATTTAAAAATATTTTCTTAAGTTGTTCTTCTAAGCTCTCAAGCTCGCATACGAACTCAGTTAAGTGAAGGACTTTTCAGTTTGACTATTTTGCTACTTCCGAACTAGGCTGTAACAGTAAAGTCCGTATTAATGTTTTTTGTTTCTTACACACAATTTTATTTTATTTTTAGCTAGCGATTAAATGATTTGCATTTGCTTCGTGTAAACTGTCCATATTTACATACAGACACCACATACTGTTTGTGGTTTTGACATCAAACGGCGTCTTTATACTTTTCAGTTGCTGTCTGAACTTGGACAATGCCACAAGCAATGAAGTGCACAGTGTTCGTTCACATTATTCTCTTTGCTGCATTATTCGCGCACGTAAGTACTCGCATAATCGCACAGCATCAATTTAATTTAATTGCATTGTTTACTGTTTTTTATTTGATCGCCAATGTTTGTGTGACAGATCAACGCCGATTACGAGGAGAAGACGGAGGATGATTTCTTAAGCGCCGGCGAGCGTTGTTTCCAGCGTGAGCGCTTGGCCGCCCCCTATCAGCGTCGCTTCGACACTTTTGATTATCCGGACGAGGAGCCAGTACATCGTTATGTGCACTGCATTTGGACAGAGTTGAAATTGTGGAATGATCGCACCGGTTTCAACGTCGAACACATAGCGGCACTTTATCGCGATAAGGCGAATACGGAGGTGCTGGTGCCGATATTGAGTGACTGTAATCGGAATGCACAGAATGAGCCGAGCCTCAAGTGGTGTTATAGGGCCTTCAAATGTGTGCTAAACAGTCAGGTGGGTCAGTGGTTCAAGGAGGATGTGGAACGCAAGTTGCAAGAGAGGCGTGTGGGAAATCATGTCGCTTGAATTGCTTCGTTTTTATTAAAGCTTTACACATACATACATACTTATAAATTTCGATATTTGCAGATAAGCGAGTATGTGTATATGTTTATATAAAACTAAAATATTTGTTGTTTTTGACACAATTATATATACAGATACAGTTATTAAAATGTAATAAATATGATTTAATTGTAAAAAAAAAATAATTATATTTTATGGCTAGACATATATAATATCAGCAAATATATGGAATATGTATATGAACAAATTTTGAATTCTCTCATAATTTTGCACTCAGCATGTACTCTCTCAGCCAAATGCCCATTCGTCCTGCTGTCGCGCAACGATACGCCTCGTAAGCCCATAAATCCAAATTCATTTGCTGATGTTTTTGATTGCAATAGTCCACCACGGTCATTACTTCGCTCTCACTGTGCTCTTTAGTAAAGAATTTCGCTACGCGTTTGGCTTGGTAGCCAGTGGCATCGGTCCATAAGCCCATATTACTAGCTATGCAGCGTACATAGACGCCGACTATTTGTTCTGTACTGATATGACTGTCTGTCGACTTGGGCGTAGAGATGTTTTGAACACAAATTCCGTGCGCTTTGTAAAGGCGTCGAGAAGCATCTTCGTGTTCGGAAATCGGTACGGCTGTTGCAGGCATGAAAAACTGGAGGAATTAAAAATCAAATGGATTTGTGAAAATATTAAAGAATGGTTTTTCATTATCTATAACTGTATACTTATTTTTGACATTATAAGAAATCCCTCAAAGTTCTTATAACCAGTCCTTAAACTACTTATGATAAATTCAGAAAGTTCCTACAGTGATGTGAATTTTTCATAAGCTTCTTTATGGTAATCAGGACATTAATCAATAATTCAAGAGCACCTGAACTATGCGCGTTTGCTCGTGAGTTAGTAAGCTCTCAACGGCATCTGTTAAAAATTGCTAAATGTTTCAGGAAACGCCGACTTTTATGGGAAACATTTTACCTCCAAAAATACTTGTTGATTTGAAACATTATTATTAAAATTAGTATTACCATTTTTAAGGTTCTCTTGTAAAATTTGGGATTGGGTGAAATCAGTCAACAAACGCTCCATTCAGATAAAACGCCTTTTGAATCCCGACAACCGGAAAAGTGATGAAACTCATATAGTATATAATAATAGAATATACTAACTTTCCTTACTCAATTTAGTCAGTACTGTACATATTGGTTAGTGAGGGTGAAATCTCAATAAAGAAGATAATATAAGAGTGATTCATACTTTCCGTCTCCGAGGACAGTCAGTGCAAAATTGCTTCCAATAATGAATTCACTAATTTAATGACGTTCAGCATTTTTCGAATTTCCATCTGCCTACTTCTTTTTATTCAATTGAATGGCCCGATACTATACAAACCCTACTTATTGTATTATTATTCCCTGAACAAGGTATATTAAGTTTGTCACGAAGTTTGTAATACCCTGAAAGCAACCTCGGGGATCCTATAAATGACGATCTGAGTCGATTTAGTCATGTGCGTATGTTCGTTTTTCCCTCCATCTGCATATACGCGACGTTTTTAAGATATCGATCTAAAATTTTGCACACTTCCTTTTCTCCATTTGTCGGGATCATACAAACTGGTCGATCAAAATCATGTTCTTATATGGAAAACTTTTTTATTTGTAATACTATAATATTCCAAAATATTGATTAGATCGGACCATACATCAACCAACGTGGCTATGAAGAACTAGCTTTTGGACTAACCCTAAAATCACTTCTTTTGAATGAAAATATGGTTACATTGTTTGACGTAATCCTCACCTAGAGAAATGCATTTGTTGTAATAATCCTTCAACAGTTTTCGAATTTTTTGTTATTTTTTCCAATCAAGAAACATTGTTTTATTGAAATACAAAATTTCCTTTTGTTAAATATAAAATAACATCTAAAAACGAAAAACGAAAAATTCAAGAAATAATTAAGGAGAAACTGATCTAGTATCTCTATTATAGATTGTTGCTACATCTTTATTAGAGACTTTATCAAGTTATTTTCACTGTTTGTAGTGCGAATGATATTTGTGATAAACTTCTTTATAGCAGTAATACCTTTTAAGATAAGTTTTTGCCTGTCGAGTGGCGTTTAGTATTAGAATACATAATTTCAACAATTTTTCGAATACGCGGATCAAACTCGGATTCTGTCGTATACCTAGTCTTATAGTCTTATTTAACATAAAATAATTCAATAAAACCTTCGCCAACCATAAGTTTTGCTAAATTTATTTTCGAATGTTGCTGTTATTTGGAGGTGATTTTAGCGGTAGATGAGCTTATAAATCATTTTCAAAAATAAAAAAAATTAAAAAATGCATTTTGATAGCATTTGAGGGTTCAGAAGATTTGAGAAGTCGTGGAGGCCATTTGAATGATGTTTTATTTAGAACTTAATTGTGTCGATTGTACTTCACATTAAATAAAAAACTTTTGAATTTCCTTAACAATTAGTGTGTTAAAAACAAAAAAAAATCATATGACTCTTATTTTAAAACTCTTTACATATATGTATACACATTTTGTTACATTTAATAAAAATAATTAATTTAATTACTCAAATGCTTACACTGATTACAACACAAAGCACAACTGCCAACCGTATTATCAGATATCTCCGTATAAACATATTTAAGCGCAATTATTTTATTTCCTTCAAGAAATCAAAAAACTAAAAATATTTTACGCGCTTTTATGGAATATTCGCTGTACCGTTATCACTTTGCACGCATTTGATTCTCGACTATTTCAAACAAAATAAATTGCATATGCTTTTATAGTTACTTCAAGCTGAATTGTTATTACTCAATTACTTATATTTATATATAATATGTATGTACATATAAGGTATCTGATTTAGAAAATGTTTCGTTGAAATTGGCAAAAAGTGCTACATAAAAATTATAAAAAGCAACTATGGCAAAAAACCTGGTCGACGCAAATGAGTTTTAGCAACACGCAATACATTTTAGACAAACATACATACATATGTGCGAGTATGCGTCATTAACCTAGAATTTAATGGTAGCGGCTTTGACAAACTCGTAGTCAGACATGCAGTCTACCATATGTTTAATCGTATATGTAGATATGTATGTATATGTATATGTGTTTTTGTAAAATGTATACACATGCACCCATTAAGCATAAAATAGTTTTCCAACCTTTGCCGTTCCCACCACAGTCGGGTCTACGTAACCGGAACGGACCTGGATTTTATCCGGCCAAGGATTGTCAAATCGGCAGAATTCTACCGCTACAACAACAACAAGTTCTCCAACCTTTGCAAATCTTCATTATTCTCAATTATTCGTTATTTTTTGGAGATCTTATAGTCCAATGATTATTATTGTCGCACAAGTAATACAAGATCTGTTGTGAGCGGTTATGATTCTCCAATCCAGGTGCCGTTTGAAAGCATTATGGCGATTTAAGTAGTACGGTTGTTCCCAAATTCGACACTATTGTATTTTGACTCAGACGTAAATGTTAGCTGGGCACATATTAATATATTTATAGAAATGCTACAATAATAAGTAAAACTTCACAACTAAATTTGATAAGTTGCAAAGTGTAAGCATTCGAGTATTTCATTACATTGATTTTGTTATTTTGACATTTCGATTTCCAAAGCTGTTTTACGTCAAGCTGTATATCATTCCTTGGCCACTTATCACTTGCAATTATTCAGTGAAATGGAAATGCGCTCTAGAGACATTCTTAGAAGACATTCGAAACTGTTTTTTTTTTTATGAAAAACAACTGGGCGTCTTCGGATCTTGTCGTGTCGGAAAAAGCATTTTTGAATTTTAAACTATTACGAGTATACCTCCTCCGAACGTTACATAAAAATTAGTCGCGTCTTGTACTTTAGAAATCTAAAAGTAATACTATGATTATTTCAATTACTATGTAATTACGAGTAAATGGTTATAAAATTACCTACTCAACGATTTTATAAAACTTTTTATAAAAATAAATAATATAATATATACATCATCAGTCAAACATAGACCAGAGCGCTGCTGGTATAAACATGAGTATCAATTGTAAAGCTAAGCAGCACATTTTGTCTACCGAAATATCTCGAAGTTCCATCGCACGAACTGGGTTGCTGTCAAATCAATGGTGTATGACAAGGCTAAAAATTTAGATTCTAATAAAACTAGAGAATAATGATGCTTTCATATTGTTATTCTGGTAAAACAATCATAAGGTATTTAAAAATTGAAAAAATTTTAACAAATTTGACGATTTAAAGACATTAATATATACATTCTGAACATATATATGTACATACATGTGTATGTACTTGTATATATGTATGGAGATATAATTGCCGAAATTAAAGGTCATAATTTACTGCAACCATATGTGTATGTGAGTGGGTTTGCACTATGCATAAATCACCAGCCTTGAATCCGTTTGAGATAATTTAATTGTGTCGTTATATGAACTATTTGAATTTGGTTTATAATTGGTGGAATATTCCAACAAAATTTAATTATAAGATCTTGAAATTCAACCGATTGTATTTGTATATGTATAGTGGCTTGTGGAAGTCTGAAAGACTTTGCAAAATACAATGTAGATTAAAAATGACTGCGAGCAAACCGAATTGATAAATTCTTTTTTTTTTTCATAAATTGTATATATTACTTTTTTATGTAAGTGTAAAGCTTGACTTCTATATGTCAATTAGTGTGTGTTTGACAGCTATATGTTTACGAAGCGAGCAGATTGTCTGGCGATTTGAATATATTGGATCAACGGACCCATGGCGCATTCTCCGATGCGGACTTTTCACTTTTAAAAACAGAAAAATGTCTCAGAGAGCCAAATCTGGAGAATCCGGAGCGATGACTCTTCTTTCATGTTCGTCCAAATATTAACACCAAGGCGAACACGTATTGTTGGAGCGGTCTGGATGCTCGTCTCTTCGATTGTCTATAGACTGGAGTATCAGATGTAAAATAGATTACTGAATGTATCTTGTGCCCTCCCCCAAAAATATAATACGAGTATATTATATATTTACTTAAACTCATCAATCGAACAATAATATTGATTCAATCTACATTTTGCTTTTGTATTTTTTACACAGAAAGAGCATATGTAAATTATATATTTATTATAGTCACGCCATATCTTATGTACATACGTATGTATGTTTGTAATATTTGTGGAAAAAACACAGAATCAATGAACGATTCCATCTGAAGAGTTTATTCTCTCCAGCTGATTGATGTTGTTTTTAATTTTCTCTTCTATCCTTTGCTTTTCATTTCAACAAATTGAAGAGTGTAAAGAAAGCGAAGAAATTAAGTTTGAAAAATAATTGAATTGCAGGTTGTATTGAGTGGCAAAAACACATTTGCGCTGAAAAAACTTATACAGAGGTATAAATATGTATTTGTATGTACATACATATGTATTAGGGTGTCCGTTATTAACCAAGTTGGTTTGTGCTTTTGCAAACACCCCCTGAAGTTTCAGTTTTGCCCTAAAAAGGGTCAAGCTAAAGCATTTCGTTTTTCCCATATATTTTACATGATAATTTTTTGATATTTTTATACTCTTGCAACATGCTGTTACAGAGTATAGTAATTTTTTTCACCCAACGGTTGTGCAGATCACCTGAAACTAATTGAGATAGATATAGTATTATAATGATCATGATGAGGAGACGAGTTGAAATCTGGATGTCTGTCCGTCCGTGGAAGCTGTAACTTGATTAAAAATTACGATATAATATTTCTAAAACTTGGTACACGTTTCTTAGCACCATAAGCACCATGAGCGAAACCGGACTACAACAACGCCTACTTCCTATTTAGCACAATTTCACATTCCAAATGATTCTATCACTTTCCAGTATACAAATCAAGCACCAAATAATATATTAAGGCAAGACTTTCTACAAATAGTGCTTTTGAGGTATACCATCTCAAGTATAAAAATTGTTAAAATCGGAGCATAACTGTTCAAGCCGCCAGTTACGGGATATGGGAACCCCAGTGCGTGATGCTAACTTCGGGTCAATACTTTCCTTAGCCCCCATATACTTGTATCTTATTGAAATATTTTCAAACTTTCGAGCCAATATTAACCCAATCTCTCATATACCTAATATATAATAAGATTTTCAAGCTTCCGGTTGGACCTATGCCATATATATCAGTCAATATGTAAGATATCTTAGCAAAATTAATCGAACGTATAATATTGCAAATACTATAGTTTAACGTACAATATTTGTAATATATATATTATTATGTGTCTATATATATCTATATATATATATAATTATAAATTACTGCTGAAAATATGCGAATTTAGTCTACGAATGCCCCAACTTCCAAATACTAGCTATATTGATTTTAGTTATTCTAACAAACATAAAGCCGAACACTTCGTTCAATGTGTGTATTATATATTTATAAAAGTGCTTGAAAATATAATATGATCTAAAGTATACCTCAGCAATGTCAAATTTAACAATAAAACAGCCTATCCCTTTCTCTATCTCCAATATAGCCTGTAAAATAATTTCCGACTTTCCACCCGACAAAATGTGATTGAATTCTTCGATTTGTGCCTTGTAAGTTGCAAGAGTATAAAATGTTCGGTTCCATCCGAACTTAGCCATTCCTTACGTGTTGCAATAATGTTTTTTTATCTCCAAAATAAATAAATCTACAACATTGAAAAAATTACATTCTTTTAAAAAAATTGTTCGCTTTACAAAAAAGATGTGAATAATGTTTTTCATAAAAATACTGGTCTAAGAGCTTATGAATGGTCACTTACTCAATAACGGAGACTCAGTGCATTTAACGTAAACTTTAACATCGTGTAACTTTAACTTCGCATAACTCTTAAAGCAGTGGTTTCATGAAAAAAAATCAAAATACTTTTTGTAGAGCAAAAACTGAATTTTTAGAGAGAGTTTGCAAGTTTGCGGTTGTACCGTAGATAGAATACTGTTCACAAATACAAAAGATTGCAATCGTTCAGTTTGTATGTCATCTATATGCTAAAGTGATCCCATCTCAACAATTTCTTCAGATATTGCATTATTGCCTTAGACAATTCGAAATTTCGTACAGATATTTCGTCAAATAAAAAAGTTTTCCTTGTAAACACTTAACTGCAATCGTTCAGTATGTATGGCATCTATATACTACAGTGGTCCGATATGAGCAATTTCATGAAATATTATATCGTTGCCTTGGACAATAATCCAAGACAAATTTGGTGAAGATATCTCGTTAAATGAAATAGTTTTCCATACAAAGACTTTATGTAGATCGTTCAGTTTGTATGACAGCTATATGCTATAGTGGTCCGATAGCAGTGATTCTGAGAAATGAGCAGTTTCTTGATGAGAAAAGTACGTGCACAAAATTTCAAATCGACTCAACTCGGCATGCTGGTCATTTACGAACACATGAGTATATATTTTATAGGGTCTTCGACGTTTCCATCTGAGTGTTACAAAGTTCGTGGCCAAGTTAATATATCATGTTCAGGATATAAAAAAAAAATCAACTTGGGATATAAGGGACGCCCTAATATGCATGTGTGTATGTACATATGTATGTGTTTGAACAATATTAAGAAAACTCTTGCGAAGCTAAAAATCATTTTGATATGACGTCAAAGTGTTTTTTATTTCTGTTAATGGTGGAAAAAGTCGAGCGGTCTCAATTGTGTTTCACACTTACACATCCACTAACCAACATCTGCA